GTTCATTGAGGGTACAAAGAATTAGGTTACTCTGCTTGCATTTGTTAGGTAAAGTCCCTCTTATAGTTGTGTCCCACTTAGATAGATCTTAAGGTGCTTTTTCTTTTTTCCTATCTATAGGGTAATCCAAGCCTATTTCCCCTTTTCTTTTATTTTTGTTTCAATTTCCTTTTTGACAACTAAATTGCCTTTAGTAGGTAAGCAAGGAACAGGAAAATTATAAAACTACATTCAGCAATATCTTCTCTATTGATTTCCAATGCTCTCTCCTTGATGATCAGTCCAAAGGTGAATATCTCCTTGTCACTCTCCTCTCCATGAGTGTGGCATGTGCAGCCTGGTTCTAATCCGCCTTCTTGGCTTACATCTCTAAAAACTTATATTTCCAAATGTACATAAGACAACTGCAAATATTGACACAAATTGGGTTATGAAGAAAGCCTAACAAATTTTAAGGAATGAATGTCATGGATATTACCTTTTATGACCACATGTGATGAAAAAATTAACACAAATGGGTGATAGACCCATATAAAATGTAAAATTATAAAATTCTGAGAAAAGACAAGGGAAAATCCTTTGTGTCCTTTGGTTAGAGTTCTATTTGTACAATGCCAAAATCATGATCCATAAAAGAAAACATAATTTAAAAATTAAAAATATTTGCTTTGTAGAAGATACTGTTAAGAATACAGAAAGACAAACCCAGATTCAAAGAAAATAATTGCAAATCACACTCAACCTCAGTCTTATACCCAGAATATACATAAAAAATCTCTTACAACTAGGCCAGGTGTGCTGGCTTATGCTTATACACTTAGCACTTTGAGATGCAAAGATGGGATCACTAGAGGACAAGAGTTTAAGACCACCCTAGACACCACAGTGAGACCTTATCTCTACAAAAACAATTTTTTTTAATTAGCTTGGCATAGTAGTGCACACCTAGACTTTTCTAAGAAATGTATTACTTTTACAATGTAAAAATAAATGTCATTTACAAATACCTATGAAAGTTCTATAATGTATTGGTTTGACCACAATCAATTTATTTTGGGCATTTAATCATCTAAACACATGGTAATAAGCAGCACTTTGGGGTATGATTTCAAAGAATATCAAATCACAATTCATCTTGTTTTTTGGATGTAGAAAGGACAAAAAGTTAATAAAACTTTTCTCTTATACATTAGAGATTGGAAAAATAAGGCCGATTTTATAAAGTTGGGTATAGCCTGGGTGTTATAGCCATATGGTGTTCATATTGTTAGTGAAAATTCTCATAACTGAACCACTTTCTTACTTGAATTTATTTATGTATTATTTTTTGATGTAGGCCTCAAGCTACCAACTGATGAAAGTTCTATCTTTGAGTACTTTTTGGATATACAGCAATGTGAATTCATGCCCTGGTCAGATTTAGTGCCTAATGATCAGACACTAATTCAAAAAGGTAAGAATATAAGTATTGTATTGTATTGATTCTCTAAAATATTGGGTATTTATAAAAATAGTTATGTCAGCATCTTTGAAGAATAATGTATTCCTAGTTTGGGTAGAGATCAGTTGAGACCTATGTTTACAAATGTACCTTTTAAAAGTAAACTTTGAATATAACTTTCTGAGAAATTTGGAATGTATTTGATTAAGATGCACATTGTAAAAGTCTAATGCACTGAAAGTCTTACTAATAGCTAAATTTATTTTAATTAGGTATGATTATTGAAAGGAGAAAATAGAAAATACTACTTCTAAAATAAGAAAAACATATATGTAAAAATTTGTATTTAGTTATAAAGGAAACTACTAATTAGAAAAGACTCATAGTTTGAAAATACCCATATATGCTAAATTGTTTTAATTCTTAATCTTCTGCTTCTACATGTAGAAAACTATTGCACTTTGGAAGACTAGTAGAAGTTTGAGACAGGAACTTAGTAATTAAGCTTCTTAATAGAGTTCTTGCAAATATAAATTCAATAAATGCCATTTGACCTGAATTGCTTTCAGATTGGGTTTCTCTCATTGAAGAATTTCAAAGTTTGGGTGCCACAGTTTTTGACAGAAAGTATCCATAGCTATCAGAATGTTCTAATTCCAAATTTATTTCAGTTGGAAATACCAAAATACCAAGGTTGTTTTATACAATATTTTGTCACAATAAATACAAGTAGGTGATTATATTTACTTAAAAGCTCTGAATTATATTTCATATGTTAGTGTTAATACTTAATCATCTTATCTATGATGGAGAAATTAAATACTTTCATGACATTCACACATTGAAGAAATTTGCTATAACTAAACCAGCTCTCCAGGAAATTCTCAAACCTATCCTCCATA